TTGGTTGTTTGGTTTCACATCGCCGATGTGTGTGCTGTTGCGCCGGCCGAGCAGCACAGGCTGTCATAACTCTCTACCGAAGGCCAGATTGAAAAGGTCAGTGAAAATGAAGCTCCTCTCTCCGGAGGCCGAATGGAAGGGGGGTGTCGTACAGAAGAGCCCTGTGCGCACACCCGGGCATCTAAATATGTTTATATACATGTAAACATAGACACAAACGCCCACCCCCCAACCCACCAGCGCGCTCGTATTTTTTCTCACAATCCCTCCCGGCTGACTCGTTGCTCGGAGTAAGCTCTGGCTTCCCTCAGGAGGGAGTCCGCCTGCAGATTACCTCCTCAGTCGCCGGAGATTTTTTGGAGCCCTCTGGCCTTTGACACGCCACCGCTATCTCCCGGCGCATTCCGATCCATCCCAGCGGCTCCTTTATCAGGCTGATTTGTGGCTCGTGGCCGCGATCGAGGAGGGCGAATCTCCTCTCCGGAGACCAGAGTCCCGCATCACCTTTGTAAGCCAGCACAAAGGCCACGGGAAGAAAAAAAAGAGGATCACTTAAATCATCCGCTGGGATTTAGCGAGTGAACCGCGGTTCACCTCGTGTGATTACCAGTGCAAATGAAGCAAGACCGAAACTTCAATGGGCCTCCTGCTGAGGAACAAGCTCACTGAGAGTCCTCCTGTGTACATCTGTCAGCTGATTACACATGTGGAGGCTGATAATGCCAGTACCACCCACAAATTCTTTAGGGGGAAAAAAGAAAAAAAGCTTGTCGCGCACCAAGCTTTCCCACAAAGCCGCTTACATGGGGAAAACAATAGAGTACTAGGAGTAGGGGCTCTCCGGGAGAGCCCCAGTGGGTTTTTCCAGTAAAAGTTTGGATCTTTAATGTCCGCGGAGAACATTTGAATGCGTGTTTTTTTTAGGGGCAAATAGTTGACAGTTGTGTTCCAACTGCTCTCCTCGTGTTCTTACTGCACAGATGGACTGGCAAAAGGTAGATTTTCCCAGCGGCTGTCTGAAGGGGTGTCTCTCCGGTTATTGAAACTACCATCAGAGCTTTTCTTCAGACTGTCGCCCCGCTGGAGAAACAGACGTTACAGTCTTTACGACAGTTTTTTGCCGGTGGGGACCCACCAAGTAGCCCAGAGAGAAATCTAAGGGGTCATTAAAGATCATTAAAGGGATGAACGTATGAGAGTTTTTTTTCTTTTTCCTTTCTGAATAGTCTTTTAGTTGCTTTTTTTTTGGGTATGGCTAAATCTGTGACAGGATGTACAGCAAATAACGTGTACATTTGCACAAAGCAATAATTAAGAACTGCTCCTTTAATGTATTTTTTTATACATTATGTTCGTAAGGCAGATTTAGGAAAAAAGATATACATTTATGTGAGACCAAATGAAGGTTTTGCATATGATGTAGTAGATGTTGAAGGCATTTTAAAGAAAGTTTTCTTTATCAAATGTTTTTTTTTTCTCCGTAAATCATCCATTTAATTCACTGCTGAAGTGGCTTCTGCTCCGCCGTTACAGTAACTTATCGTCTTGGCCGTGTCCCAGCTTTCCCCCCTTATGAGTTGAGGACTAATAAAAGATGAAATATGGTTTCAAGATACCCC